GGGGCTCCGGCGTAGCGGGCAAAGCCAAGTCACTGCCTGGCCTGGAAGTCTTTGGGCTGGTTGGATCCCACTCAGCTCAGCTCTGATCTCCCCCAGCTAACGAGCAGAAGGGTCATTTCCTTGTCATGGCATGAACACGAGATCCGGAGGAGCTCCCCGGAGCAGCCCCATCGCAGACCGTCGCCTCCGGAGCCGCTCCCTCACCTTGTCCAGCAAGGTGAAGCAAACCCGCTGCGGATACTCATTATCTGCAATCACCACTCCGGCCAGCCCGTCGTTCCGGACGTACACGTGGCAGAGGTACTCTGGGCAGAGAATTCACATCAGAGCGGCAGCGGTAAGGTCCAGAGCCTCCCCCAGCACCCACCGCCTCCCGCCCAGCCCCGGCAGCTCTTCCACAACCCACGAATCGCACCAAGAGGTTTCATTCAGCAACCGCGTTTCACACAATTTCATTAGGAGAGCGGGAAGGGCTCAGGGAGGATCAAAATCAGCCCCAAACTGCGCTTCAGCAGGTTAGCGCAGCCTGGCCACGTGGTGCGGGACATGACGCTAACTTTCCAGGGCAGCAGGTAGTTAAACAAAAACCAGAGGGGGAAGCGCTCAGCCTGATTTTAATAATAAATAACAACTCATCAGAAGCCTGGAGTGTCATTAAAGAGGCTGCGGCGGCCAACTCCAGGCTGCACCCTGCACGTCTCGGGGTTCGGGAGGCACGTGGGCAGGGCGGGGAGGCCGGAGGTGAGGCCAGAGATCGCGGTACGGAGCCCGGACTCGCCCGGCAGAGCTGAGGGGAGAGGGGAAGGGGGCTGCACCGGCGCAGCTGCCCCTCGGGGGATCGGAGCGGCCGTGCTCAGGACAAACCCGGCAAGCTGAGGGCAGCAAGGAGAGTAACGAAGCTCGCGGGCGGCAGCTGGCTGTCAGGCCAGCCCCGGCTCTTCCTGTAACCTCCCTCACAGGGTGGGCCGGGCTCTCGCCGAGCTCAGCCACCTCACGCCTTTAGCATTACTCGCCCGGATGTTGTTTTGAGGTCTCTTTTTTTTTTTTTTTATCATAAACGGACAAGGAACAAAGCACGTGCAGCTGTGCATGCTGACCCCGGGTTATCCCCTTACCTTGCTCCTTGACAGAGGCTCTGCTGCCCAGCTCCGAGCGCTCCACGATCAGCTGGCTCGTGAAGGTCATGAATTCCTGCACGCTGCAAACACAAAGCGTTGGCGCTCGAGTCTGCGAGGGGACCCGGCTCTGCGGGAGCTGCGCTTGGCCCACAGAGCTACAGGGGTGCTGGCACAGCAGCGATGGGGGAGAGCACCTGTCCCGCAGGTCCACAGCGGTTTGGGTGGACTGAAACCCTTCCCCACGACCCCAACACCAGGTTTGGATAGTGAGGATGTGGCTGAGCCGTGGGTTTTCCTCAGGGAAGAGGCCGGACCCTGCACCTACACGGAGCTGCAGCCACCACCCAAACACCCCCGGCTGTGCCGGGCCCAGGGGAGCGCCCATGTCCCTCCGGCTGCAGCGAGGGACTTGCATCCTTGGGCCGAACTTGCTTTTTGGCGATTTAGCAGGAAGTAAAACACCGTTGAACCATAGATCTGCCCAGCTAAAGCCTGACGAGCGGCTGCGCCCGCTCACGTGCAGCAAGGGGCTGCAGGGGCGCCGGCCCCTTCCCTTGCCTGAGCTTTTATTCTGTGCTTGGGGCCCTTACCCAAATCCCACAGAAGGCGCCAGTGACCTGGGGAGGCCGTTTGACCCACAAACACACCTCACCTACCTACCAGTTTGATCAAAATGAAGGAACATCCTCAAGTCAGACTCGCGCTAAGTCTGGATAACATTCCTGAGCCCAGACTCGAGCCCCACCAAACAGGTTTCTCACATAAACCCTCTTCTTCACTCCACGGTAAAGGAAAAGAAGCCAAAAGTCATCAGCAAGTGCAAAATAAATCTGTTCCCAATGCACACCGGGATTAACAAATGCGAGGCAACAAATTCCCCACTTCAGCTGGAAAGTCCCAGGAAGGGAAACCCATCAGAGCTCAGATTACAGAGTTTGCTCAAACACCAACAGCTCCCGCTTGGAGTTTCACGTGACGCGGCACCGAGGAAATGTCAGTGAACACGGACACCAGCACGGCAGAGACCGCGGTCTCCCTTGCTGCCTTCCACCGCTGGAAGCAGCTCCGTAACGGGGGTTTGCCCCTCACAGTTTACGTATTCCTTAGGGGTTTTTGTATTTCTCCCAGCCCAGACACCACACAATCAGATGCCGACTCCACTGCGTCTCCGAACCGTTGGGTTTCCAGGCGCTGCAGAGAAAAGACCGGCCCAAAGATTTCCTACCATCAAACTTCAGCAGAAACAGACGACCAACACATTCCTCCTGGTCTGGGGCATCTGCTGGCAGCCGCAGCCCCCGCCGTCGCAATTCCAGTATTTCACAGTATTCCCGGAGGAATCAGCCACCAAAGACTTTGTTCCCTCATGCTGTGTTCCTGACCCTCCCAAATTATTCAGATGTCAGGTGGCAGACACCCCACGCCGGCAGGGCCAGGCCGGCCCCGTCCTCCTGCCCAGCAGGTTCTCACGGCTCCCAGGAACCACAACTGTGTTTATCCCAGATTCAAACCCCAAACCCAGCTCTCTGGTAACTCCACGGCCTCAAAAACCAAACGCGCAGCATTTTTAACCTAAACTTAATTGCACCATAAATAGCCCCTCCGAGCATGACCCGGGGGAACCAGCTCAGGACAAGGCTCAGCACCAGAGAAAAGCTGCGAGACCAACGAGCACAGGCACCCCCTCACCCCCCACAAACAGCATCGCTGTTCCCAAAAAGCCGAGACTTTATTTTAAGCAAAGGAATAGCCAGCTGCCGGGGGAGCGGCTCTTTCGGCCGTAGCTGACAGCAAAACCGTGCAGGGAATTTTCTCAGGATTTGGCAAACCAAGGGCTGCGACTACAGAGCAATTTGGGTCTTTAAGAGATTGCTTCACCCGCCGCAATCCATCCTTGAGCGCATGCGTTGGCAGCGCTGGCACAGTTCCTTTATCCCTCTCGCATATTTGGCTAAAAGAGTATTTTTTAAGACAATCTTACTTCAGTATTTTCCCTTTATCACTGGAATTGCAGAACCAAATGTGCTCAAGGCTCCACAGAATCTTGGCAGACACAGGGTATGGAAAATTCGAGTCCTGTAGGTGAGTATTTCCTAAAGCCTTTATCGTCTGGAGCCAGGGGCCGGGAAACAAGCCGTTTCACAACAGGCACCTGCTTTATTTTACAGCTTTTAGAGGCTTTTGGGAGCTCCCCTCAGCTACGAGCTCAAGGGCAGCTGCTGAGAGCTCTCTGTGACCTCTATGCGTGCATGGAGCGGGCAGCAGGACGCCCGGGAGCCCGGATCAGCGTTCAGGGCTAAACCGGCTCACCCAAAGCCGTCAGAATAACCCGAGTGAAGGTTTGTGGGCTGGGAAAAGTTTAAGATTAGACCAAAGACCTAAATAAAAAGTTACCGGAGGTGTCAGGCGAGCCTTGTTAGTCTGACACAAAGACGAGCCTCCTCCCACTCGCCTCTCACACCCTGGCAGCCGCCGTGACTACCAGGTTTAAGCACTCACTGACCCAAGCACTCGGGGTGTTTCCCTGCACCCAGGTTTTATCACTTGGCTGTGGTGGATGATTTACCAAGTCAAAACTGCCCTCCTGCTGCTGGCCCTGGCAGGCTCTTAGGGGAAACGAGGTTTCACTCCGTTCCCGAGACTGGAAGATCGCTCAGAGCGATTTTGCAGCACTGAACGGTGCGGGCAGGGTCACAGCTCCCCAGGGGAGCATCTCCGGTGGGTTTACCCCTTGGGAGAAGCCTGTTCCCGCTGCCACTGCATCCCCACTGACACAGGAGCAGAATGGGGAAGAAAACCCCCCAGAAGTTTCTAAATCCCTCTCCCCAGGGTCCTGTCTGAGCCACGTGCCAGCCTCACAGTGCACGGGGGAGATTCCCCCCGCCCCCCAAACCTCCCTCGGAAGGTTCCGGCACTCCAGGCACCCACCTGGACCTCTGGAAGAAGTTGAAAGTGGACACGTCGTAGGCAGCTTTCAGTAAATGCACTTTGGGGTCTCCTTTGTAAAGGACACTTAGGCTGTAGAGCCTCATCGTGGCGTCTCCCGCTGCCCTGGGTGGAGGAGGGAGAGCCGG